TAAATATTGGCAGAGTAAAGACGTAATATTGCTGGAAGAAAGTCGTTAAATTAAAAAGCTTCGATAAAGTGATATGCAATGTGACCTGTTCAGCAAGTCTGGTTCTTTCTGTTAAATAAGCAATCGTTTCAAAGACCTGTGGCTGAAAATTTGCTTCTGATGTGCTAAAACATTTAGTACTTAGTCATTTGTTAAACCAGTACTAACTATAACCTTACATCAGTATTCCGCAATTTAGCGTATGGTGAAAAGCTATCATAAAATTAGTCTTTATTCTCGTCCAACTTTATTTGTATTTAAAACACAAATCAAAAACTCAGAGACCAGCACTTATACTCCATCATAACCAAGTAACTGTAGCTCGCAGAAAAAGGCCAGGAAATAGACAAAACCTGTCTTTTTATTGTTAATACAAAAATGTTATACACTTTTCATTTCTTCTCATCTGACAAGCTGAACTATTAGCAATATTGCTGCAATTTTTTTCACCATAAATGTTAAGAACCTTGTGGAAAACTAAACTGAAGAAGCTGATAAGTAATCAATGCTTATAGTTCTAAAAAGATTTACTATATTTAGTCTAAAAATGCAAATCCTAGTGAATCATTTGCACTTTTTCAAACTGAGTTGTCTTGATTAAATGTTAGTGATTCACTCATAAACTGATTTTGTAAATTATTTTGAGGCTTACAATAATAAAACAGCGGTTTTGATAATAAGCCAGTGGTTTGTACGATAAATTATTAAATGTGAACCAATTCGCAATAGTATTTAAATTCTGGGGAGGGAAGGGCACTTAGCAGGGGGGGAACGAAAAAAATTTGTTTATCATGTCCAGCCTGGAGTGCTTTGGGTGAGGGGTTTTCCCTGCTCATGGTCGACTCATGGGATCCGCAGTGTGAGACTTTTGTTTCGGCTTGGCACCCTGAGCGTTCCAGGATGAGCTGCTTGGTGCGGGGTGTACGACCTCTCCGTTGATTTGAGGAAGAGTTGTTTCATTTCCACAGGTAGCATTGATCTCAAAGTTCACCTCCAGCCGTTGAATCTTCATCTCTATAAACTGAAGTCATTGTAATACTGCAAATGTCCCTGGGTTCGGCCGGAGGCATTTTGCCCTGGTTCAACTTGGAGGTGAAGAAAAGTAAGGTAAAAATAAAAGTAAGAAAATCCCACAGTCCTTAGGTTTGAAGTAATCCAATTATGATGTCGATAATGTAAATATAACTATAAAAACTGTGACTTTAAAAATAACTCAAAGGCAAAGTTATCAGTAAGGAGAGAGCAGGATAAGCTGTTCCTCCTTCAGCTGTCAGAGCGTACGTTTATGTTTGTATGTGATATTGATTACTCTATAATCAGTTCAGGAGAAGTTTTTCTGGTGAGTTTTGCAGCTGTGGTCTGAACCACTAAGTGGTGAGAGTATACAAGGCAGGTACAAAGTAAGCAATAACAAATAACTGGCTCTACAACAACTAGAATACATTATACCAACCAAGTTGGTCCATCTGGCAGTGTTGGAAAATCCTGCAGGTACTTGTTAGCTGTGGCTTAATAAGATAATTGGAAAATGACAAGTCTGCAGCCTGGAGGTGCTGAAAAACTTGATATCATCCTTAAATTCTAAGCCAAAGCTAAATTTTATCTTCAAAACAAAATAAGAAATCATAAACAACAAATAACTCTAAAGGTGTTTGTTCCTTTTGCATATTATATTGTTATACCAGGGGGCTACTGCATATTTAAATCTCTCTGTTAAATCTAGCTTCCTATACAAGAGTGGCTGCAACTCTTTCATAAATCTCATCACGCCAAGGCAGAAAGTTTTCTGCAGGTTCAGAGTCGAGTCATAAAATTGACAGATAGCTCCTCAGTGACATCATTAAGTCCAACAACGGTTTGTCTGTGATGCCGCCCAACTCACGCAAACCAATTTGTAGGTGTAAATCTAAAAATGTGTACTCAAGCCGTATCTCACACATCAGAAACATTAGCCGCCATGAATTCATCACAAAGCTGCTCCTGGAGGCTGTGTTGCCAATCAGAAACAGAATTTACTGTCGGGGCAAATGAGTCGGAAAATTGGGAACATCAGAAGAAAATGAAGCTGCTGAGTCAAGTTAGATAGCTTTGCTACTCGCGTTGGCAAGAATCTAAGCATTCCCAAATGCGTCTCTTATTCTGGCAATAAATCGTACCTAAAAAGGTTGTACCTGGCAGTCAAGACGATTAAGCGCTCCCCTGATGGAGGAAGTAATAGTGAGCAATGCCACTGACATCTTATTTATAGCTTTCAGTAACTTTCCCGTTTGCCACAGACAGTTCTACTTTTCTTTCTGGTGCAAAAAACAAAGAAACTAATTCACTTTTTTCTTCTTCTTCTGTTACCTTTTACTCCTGCTCAATTTTTTATCCTCAGAATGTAGCCATAAATGTCAAGCCCCTGGCTCTGTCTGAGTTCCTTTTAGATTGATGGTTTGTTTGCAGGTAGTGGCCCATAAAGGTTATGGTCCTTGAGATCTGCCACTGCTTCCCGCATACTCCAGAAGTGCGTTGTAGCTTATTTTTAGATATTCCTACATAAAAGTTTTATATATTGTAAATGAAGCTAAGCTTTAACTACTAAAATGCAACGTCTCATCCTGATGAATGCTAGAATAGAGATACATTCTGTTGTGCAGAAGCCCTAGATGAGGGTGAGTTTTGTCCCTTTTTAACTCTGTGCTAATACAGTAAATATATCTTAGTTTTGAAAACCAGTAGGTAATAAGGACAACAATATTCAGAGGTTTTCTTTTTTCCTTTTCAAAGGTTTCTAAAATGTAAATTAAAGGCTGTTTAACACATACAATGCGAGATCACAAATCCTGTACTTTACTCAAGCGACTTTGCTACTCTGTAATGAAGATGCCAAGTCTTAAATTTCTTGTAAAAACAATTTGTTTTAATTATTGCATTCCACATGAAACACTTGGTGACTTATGGTGTAGACTTTAGTGCTTCTAAAAGTTTGTATCTTTGATTAAAGGTGAGAAAGGCATTCATTACATTGGCGACAACTATAAATATTGCTGCAAGAGGTGGATAACTTCTTATTTATTTAATCACATGTTTAGTAAGATTATAATCTTTTTTGTGTTTTTTTAAAGAGAAAAAACACAAGTAGAATAACTCTCATACTGCCACAACTGTAAGTGACAGGTATAAGAATTTGCTGATTTATTTTATTATGCTTTTGAGTCACAACTAAATATTTCAGATTGCATATAACAAATCTAAATATTGCTCAAAGGTAACCCGAGTAAACAAAAAAAAAGCATTTACATAAGATGACTTCCTTTAACAGAGGTTAAAATATCCAAAACCAACCAGGGTCTTTGTGAACAAGTGATTACCTCCTTGTTCAATTATTTAAGAATGGTGATTAATCAAATTTTTGGCTTCTGTTGTACCACGCCCAAGCCTGATAACTGATAGGCCCACAGAGTCAAAACATTACTAAAACATAAGCTCTCTAACAATATAAAGTATCTTGAACAAGTTTTCAATAGAAAAGCCTTATATAGAGAGATATTCAAGAACAAACAAGATGGTGACATCTATCAGCATGAAAAGGGTTGCAAGGTCTGAGACTTTGAGATTCCAGCAAACCGCAGCAATGGTTTATTATCCACAGCTGAAGAAAACCTGCTGAACCTTCAGGAGTGGTCAGCTTACAGAAATGTCCCTGAAAAATCAGAACAACATCTAAAACACTGCTGGCCTTACTTGTCCAGTTGAGGTCGATGTTCATGATTCAACAATAATGAAGAGAACGGAGGGAAATTACATCCATGGGATAGTTCTAAGCACGTCAGGGGGAGATATCTTTTCAACAAGGAATTGTGTCTGGTTTTCTTCTCTAAAAGGGGCGTGTTATATAAAATCAAGTTTAATACTATGTTATATTGTTATTCCCTAATGAGAAACATACATGGAGTGTTGCTTTGATTCTTTCATGCATGTTTGAGGAATCCTTTAATCTCCCATGGGAGGCATTTGGGGGTGTCTAAACGCTTGCTCGTTCAAAGCGGCGGCGCCACATATTTACCCAAACCTCCGCCTTGAAGCTTAAGCTCCCAGCAGAGCTTCTGCTAACAGAGCACTCCTCCCTTGCGCCCCCCACTCAGCTCGACCAGCGAAGCAGCAGGAGCCCTTAGCAAACACCTACTGAAACTATGCATCTGCTGAGCTCATCAAATAAACTACTTTCAGTCCAACCCTCCAAAGAATGACTGTAAACAGGATCATGAAGAAGCATTGTTGGGATGACATGCTGAAGGCAGAGTGTCGGAAAGAGTAGGAGCTTTTTAAAGAGGCCGGTTTCAATGTGTTACATGGCAAAGTCACATTTCTTTTAAGTTGTATTTGATATACAGCATTTTTATAACAACTGAAGGCAACACAGTTACCTGATTGTACCATGAACTAGAACTATGTGCCTGAAAAATACATTATAACCCCATGGCCCATCTTTAAGAAATGAAATGTATTAACATTTGGAAACTACTTTTTCAGGTCATGCTTAGTCTGATATGAAGCATTACAAAAAAGCAAAAACAGAAGAATCTATAACGGATAAATACTTTTCCACAGTATTAATTATGCTGCTTTTACTTCAGAGTGATCACCTATAATGCATTTTTTATTTGATTAGAAATAAACATTACCCTCAACCCCTTTGATTTGACTTGATAATAGTAAGAGTCTTTATGTGAATATCCCCTTATAATGCCATGTTTTGAAACAGCTTGATGTGACTGCTGATTTGTTTTGTCTGACACATTATTGTTGCTCATGCAGCTAATCTTCAGCCCCATTATTCAATCTGAAGAGGGTTGATTTTTTTTTCTTTTTTTTCCTTATTTGTCAGTCAGTCATAATTTAATTAATCAAACCAGGCATTAAGCGCATCTTTGTCATCTCACACGCATCTATGTATTATGAGGATGGGATCAGTTGTAGTATTTCTTCCGGGTTGGGGAAATCAAGGGAGGGATGAGCAGAGATGCTGCCAGTGTTTGCTCTGCACATCAGCAGCCAGCCGGGCTTCTATCTCCCAGTCAGACAGACAGCGGCAGAGGCAGCACGTCCACACGGGAGAGAGACAGCAGCGCTCACGGCGCAGCAGAGGCACTGAAGACTGAACTGACACTCACATTCCCAGCCTTCTCAAATGGATTTAATTATGTTGTAGCAATTTTTGCGTCTGGAAGGCGTCCTTTTAGATCAGGAAAAAGAGACGCGCAGACTGGCTGAATTTTTAGGTGCCTGGTTCGTCTCGACCGTTCTCAGGGAGCCACTCTCCTCACATCGTTAGCTCGCTAAGCTAGCTAGCCCGCTAACTTAGCGGCGATACTTTGTACCGTATCAACGTCAGTTTTCTGCCTCGGAGCTAGCCTGCGGTCTTTTGCGCCACGGCGGCAGATTGACGTGACCCGTCACGACAGGTAAGCGAACAAAACGCGTGGAAACACGTTCTTTATGGTTCTTTTTTTTTTTTTTTTTTTTGGAGCCTCATGTTCCACCGCTGGTTTTCGCCGCTGGCCAGCGAGGTTCTAACGGTATTCTAGGAGCAGCAGCAGCAGCGGAGTGGAGCTTCGGCTGGCTGAGCTGAAGCGATCTTGTTGACAGAAGCAGCCGAGCAACTGGGATGTGATGCGACTCACCGTTTAACACGCTGATTATCACCTCACAACTCGCATTATGTCTCCACACTTGCTTTTCCTGCGAACACACCTTTAAATACTTTTCACGGGCTGTACGCTTTTTGCAGAAAACCATCGTTCCCAAGACTTCTCATTAAGATCTGGCGTTTCGTGTTAAACCTTGAGTGCTGATTTGCGGTGAATGGGCCACTGTCAGGTTAAAAAAAAAAAATCGCACATTTGCCGCATTTCGCTGCAGTAACTTTTAGTAAGGGTTGATTCAGATGACTGTGACAGGTAACTGCTGCCCTACCCCGTCTGCATGTGTATGAACAGGAGCGAAAAGGAAGGAGTACATGCACAAAGTTGATCGTCATGCTTTTACAATGCAGAATGTGCGTGTGTGTGCGCTCTTCCTGGTGGTCGTTTCCTATTTTCCCTCCCCCTGAAACATTAGAGCTGGAGTGTTGCATTACAAGTTGGGAGGATGAACCCTAAACTAGAGTTTGACCTTTTGTTTAGGTCCCTCCTTTGACCCAAAAAAAAAAGGGGGGGGGGGAGTGATCAGAATGTTTAGCTTTATCACATTGTAAGGGTATGAATCACTTGGAGAACCTTTTATTGGAGTTGATTTGGGCGGTGAGAGCTTGACATGTCAGGGAATGTGTGTAATGAAGGGTTGTGCTCTAGTGAGCATGCATTAACAATGCTGTAATTATCTCAAGAGATAAGAAAGTGGATTCGCCATCAATCCAAGGAGAGTCACGGATGCAGAGCAGAGGATGGAGACGTATGATTGACAGGAAACAAATTAATTTTGCTCTCACATGTCTCTTAAGAAGAGAGGAAAAGTTGAGCATATATATATTTTTATCCTCTGCGGCAGAGGTTCTCACATTTAAAGAGTAAAGGTCTAGGTCTGATTTGAGGTCTGGGACAACGATTGATGAGCAGATTTCTTAAACTTAATTTGTTTGCAGCCTACAATAACACTAAAATGACGTTTTACTCTTCCAAGTGTTTCTTTTTTTTTGTAATTCTAAGCCACTCTTTTTGTGACAATAAAGCATGATGAGCATTGCAATTTAATTAAATGCAATTTAACTTGAAGTGAACAGGTTATTAATTCTGAGTTTGATCAATTTAATACACGAAAGAGAAATAATATTCTGCCTGTTTTGTTTGTTTGTTTTTTTTTGACAGAAATGGTTGTTTTGAATCCAACAGAAAGTGAAAGAATTACAAGGTCACCCCCATTCATTAAAAGCATTCTTTAACCTGTTATTTTTACGTTTATTAAAGTCAACAAAGTCCATAATAGTATCTATTGTTATTTTATGTATTTATGGACAAATCATTATGGGAATTTTTACTTTTGATTCAATAAATATGATAAAAAAGAAAAGTCAGTGTGTCCCCTGCTGATCAGAGGCTATGATTATGATTGATTAGTGCTTTTCTAGTGTAAATATAAACTTAATCAGTGTGATTACCTTTCATCCCTCAAGAATAAACAGAATAAATAAATTAAGTTAGTGCAACAAGACTGAGAAATCAAAAGAAACGTTGTAATATTTAGATACCCAGAGGGAGTGATGATACATGGTTACCAAGTGTGAAAATTGTCTCTTTCTGCCTTTTATGAGCCAAGTAAAACTGTTTGAAAAATAACTCAAATGTTTTGGGATTATTAACATTTTTTGCAAAACTCTTAAAAATCTGTCGGATAGTTATTTATAAAGGTTTTTAATAACAAAAGTGGGATGCATGTCTAAGTTGGGAAACAATCATTTTTATGAGATAAAATTAAAAACGTTTCAGATATGGAATTAAAGCTCACAGGAAATCAGCATTATTTATACGTTCTACAATTACACTGTGGTCAACCTTACTCACTCTCAAGCCATAGTAATTTTCTTCTTTTTTTGACACACAAATATTTGTGGGCCAATTTTATAAATGGTGTTTTGTCTCTTAGTGTAATACTAGGGTATATTCATTTTTAGAAGCTGCTATAACTCTCTTAGCAACCTTCACCTAAAACAAACGTAACCTCATCCTTTAAGAGCTGCTTGACTCACCACATACAGCTACAAAAATCTTGGGTGAATTCCTGTTCTGCTGAGGATCTTTGAACAAGGCGATGTTTGCTTGTTTAATCAATTATTTCCAAACCAGCAATTAGTTTCTTTTTCTCAACATCTACTGCTTTAGCTTTGAAACAACTTAGTTGTAGTTTCTTAACACTATACTAACACATAGTGTTAGTAAATATATTACAGTCATAGTCTGAATAATTAGTTAACTTTTTTTTTTTTGCAGTCGAAGCAATTCATTGCAAAATGCATATTGTTTACAGTGGTGTTGCAACATCTTGTGGAGCCCGAAAGGAAATGTCTTTTTACACATTTTATCTCAACCAAAATTTGCGAGGGGCGAAGCTGAACAACACAGAAACAAAGTTAACTCGACCAAATGAATGCTTTTGTCCTGACTGTGTCAAAATATCACCTCGGGGCTCCACAACTGAGCTCAGTAAAACATGACTGTCAGGCATTGAAAGGAAATGAATCATGTTCCTCATTTCAAGGCCGTTGAAGTTGGTAGATGTGCTTCCTGCCCTTTTTGTTAACCCTGCAGCCAGGACGCAGCACATGTGCAGTGCTTGTATATCCAGATGTTCAATGACTGATTTTAGCTGTCTGAATAATGTCTGGGTTTTTTTCCTCTCTCTCTTCAGGAGGGTTGGGTAAATGAAGGTGTCAAATGTACAGGATGTGAAAGTCTGGCTGTTTATCACATGTGGTTTGTAGCTCACATAGCACGTTTAGGTGTGTGTTCATATTTGCATTGATTGTGCAATAACGATATTTGTGGGTTCAGAATGATTTTTTTTTTTTTTTTTTCCAACAAGCGATTTCATTTAACAATGTGAAGTATGACATTAAGATGTGAAGGTTCTCATACTTTTACCTAGTTTCGGTTGGTCATGTAAAAGATGACAATCTTTAATATCTACTCAGTTTAACATCGGGCATGTCTTTGGTCCTCCTATTGCTCTGAGGTGGCTTTGAAACAATAGCTCTATTCTGGCCCATGTCTTTGGAGGGAGGCAACAGCATTCGGCGCTCTCGGGACTCTGTGTGCCAGGAGGCTTGGTTAAGGATTCGGTTTCCACAGCCACCTGGACCACCGAGCACAGGAATGCCATTGTTCCTCCATCCAGACTACGGCCAGATTAAACGCACATGCAAACAGACACATGCATCAGGACCTCATACCAAAACTTAGGTCACCCATCTTTGTTACATTGCCATCGCTCACAGCAGCGATAATCGGATAAACATTGCTGGGATAGATACCGAGACTTGATGTAAAGCTTTCCCTTCTCATTCTGTCCCAGAAACTTACAAAAAAAAAGCTATATTTTGTTATCTTTGGGTGGTACAATTTTATCCTACAAAACTGTAGCGTTCGTCCCCTTTTTGGCAGTTGACAGGCAGGAAGTGGGGCAAAGAGAAGAGGAAGACATTTGCTCAATGGCCTGGCCTGGGAATGCAACCTGCTACAGCTGCGTTGACGACCTTTTCAGTATGTTTTGGATCTGCTGAACACAACTTTCAAGGTGGTACTTTTTAACACTCGTTTTCTCTTTTAAAATGCTCATTCAACCATTCATAAAGTAGCAAAATGTGAAGAAGTACTCTCTGTTCTCTAGCTTGTTTGTTGTGATGGATTTCTGAACATAAAAGCCAAAGAACTGTTCAGCCAAAGAATAAAAACTGTTCAATTAGCATGACCACATCAAAGCTAATTAACTTGAATTCCATGTGAGTATGGACACTTTATTTGGTACACTTTGTTACTATTGACTGTCCACCCAGTTAGTACTGGAACATATGCTCAGCAATTTGTCACAATAATTTCTGAGAGATTTTGGTCTGTATTGAAATGACAGCAGATATGCCTGATCCATATCCATGACGTGAATTTCCATAGCTGCTCTACCGGCTTGAGACCTGGTGACTGCGGAAGCAGCGAGAGCACAGTGAAATCATTGTCACATTCAGGAAGTCAGTTTGAGAGAATTTCGCTTTGCGACATGGAACGTCATCCTGCTAGATGTCGCCATCAAACGGATACGCTGTAGTCATAAAGTAATGGTCGTGGGCAGGAGTAATACGCAAGCGGACTGTGGCGAATAAACAATGCTCAATTGGTACTAAGGGCCACCAAGAGAGTCCTGCCCTTTGAATGTTCCTGATTAAAATAAACACATTGGACCATGAAGTACTTATTGAATCTGTAAAGCCAAATTTTGGTGAGTCTGTTTCAATTATAACCTTAGTTTCCTCTTTCTCACACCCAGTGTAGTCTTTCAACTGCTGTAGCCCATCTGCTTAAAGGGTCAATGTGTTTTATACCTAGTGAAGGTATTCCACATACAGCAACTTGGTTGTAATGACAGGTTATATGATCTGCTGTTGTCTTTCCATCTTGTCAGACAGTCAAGATATTCTCATCAGATGTCAAGAAGTTGTTTTTGTCCACACAACTGCTGATAATCGGGCATCTCTCGTTTGGACCATTCTGACTGTGACTGCCTGAAATACTCAGATCAGTTTGTCTAGCACCTACCATGCCACATTTAAAGTTATTTAAATTCCCTTTCTTCTTGGTTCTAATACTCGGTTTGAAGTTAAAACGCTTTACCACATTGAGACGTCTAAATGAGTTGAGCTGTTATGTGATTTGCGATTTCCATTAATTAAACAAGTGTAGTTAATAAAATGGCTGGTCAG